GTGGGAGTTCAGAGGAGGAGCAAAAACAGTAAGGAGACAGAAGGGACTGAGCTAAAATGAGAACAGCTGAAAACATCTTTCAGCCAGTAACTCGTATAACAGACCATGACAGCATGTACATGTTTGAATTTTATATATAAATATGGAGAAAGAATGAGATATATCTAGTCTTGTTTATGAAAGCATAGCTCCAAGGGTAACAGGTTTTACACTCTGAGGTATTTGGGGTAATAATTATCTTCTGCTGTTTGCCCAGTGCCTGACTACTTGGAACTTCACTTGCTACCATAATCAAACAAATAACTATTAAAAAAAAAAAAAAAAAATCTAGGCAACAGGCTATGATGTGAAGCATGGCTCCTGTGTGTGGAATATATGAAAAACAATTACAGTTATGACTGATTCATCCAGGAATCACATCTTTGTGTCCTGTACAGCCAGAGCCCAAATGACATGGGCAGCACGGACAGACATAGGCAGAGGACACAGCAGGGGCTGGGCATCAACAAACAACGGGAGTTTGTCCCCTCTAACCTTTAAGGTACCTTATCCTGACAAAGGGTTTTGATATATTCCAGCCTGAACAGAGTGGATGTCCACAATTACCCTGAAACTGCAGCCAGGCATAAAGCAAGATTTGCCTGCTTGAAAATCACAGTTGTGTAACACACAAATATAATTCATCTGGGAAACCCCATAATTCTAAATCTCACGGACAGCACTCGGGCTGTACATTCGGCCAGCCACAACCAAGGCAAGGGAAGAGACGGAAGGGACAGACAGGAAGCATGACCCTTTACGGACAAGAAAAAGCAGCAGCCTGGCAGGTGCTGAGCGAGGCGAGCTGCAGCCCTGCCCGCTGCCCACATCTCCCACGGGGAGCTGGTACCGGCCCCCAGCCGCTGCCGCGCCCCACACCGAGGTGACCGCCGGGAGGGGCGGCCCCGGCTCTTCCCCATGGACGGCGCATCCCCGGGGTGCTGAGATCCCGTGCCCAGTGTGCTGAAACTCCCCCGTGTCCGGGGGCTGTGCCAACCCGTCCCCAAAGCGCTGTCAGCCCCCGGTCTCCCCGGGACGGCCCCGGGGCTCCCGCCCGGCTGAGAGGGGTGGCGGGGTCGGGCGAGCGGAGGCTGCAGGGAGGCGCTGGAAAGAGAATGAGGGACTGAGGGACTGAGGGACTGAGGGACAGAGGGGCAGAGGGGCAGCGGGGCCGGGGGTCGAAGGGGGCCGGGCGGTGCCCCCACGCCCGCGGTACTCACTCAGCCACGACTCCAGGCTCTCCCCCTCAGCCTCCGCCATGTTGCCGGAGCGACCCGGGGCCCCGCCCCGCCCGCGCGAGCGCCGCGGGGGGCGCGTCCTGCTCTGGGCCCCGCCCCCAGCCGGGTGGCCCCGCCCCGCGCGGCGGCGCGCGCAGGGAAGATGGCGGCGCCCAGCGCGGCGGGGCTGGGGGGAAGGTTGCGGGCCTGGCTGCCCCGGTGAGCGGGGAGAGGGGTCGGGGGACTCCCGGGGGCTGCTCCCCACCGCGGAAACACGGGAAGCACGGAGGGAGGCCCGGGGACGGCTCGCCGGGAGCACACGAGGGGTGCGGGGAGGGTGTGTGCCACACCGGGAGCACACGGACAGGCCGCCCGCCTGTTTTTGCCAGGCTCATATAGGCATAGAACTATCAAAGCTGGAAGAGACCTCTAGGGTCATCCAGGCCTACCGTGCATGCTGCACTGCTACTCTAATCCCTAAACCAGGGCACCCAGCGCCAGGTCCGGACTCCTCTTAAACAGCTCCGGGGATGGTGACTCCCCTGCTTCCCTGCGCAGCCGCTTCCAATGCGTGGCCACAGGAACAGTGAAAAAAGGGATAGAATCCTGCATTGAGCTGCTCGCCCCACTGCCACGTTATGCCTCTCGCATCTAGCATATCCTTCTGAGGCGTGCTCACATCTGTCCACATCTGTCTGCATCCCTATCGCGACACAGCACTAGGTTACAGCCCCGCTTCTCTTGTTCCCTGCAGGATAATCCCGGTGAGATGGAGCCGCTACAACCCCAGCTATCTGGAACCAGAAGTGAAAAAGGAATTGTATCAGAAATCTTCAGAGGAGCTGACTGAGGAGGAAAGGGAACAAATGGAGCTTAAGGTTGTTCGACCCATCAAAGCTGCTCCTCCTGCTCTCTCCAGTTCCGTGTTCAGTGACCCCATGATCAGGTCAGAGAAAGCAACAGCTGCTCCTCTCTCCAAAAATGCCTGGGAGCTGTGCTGCCCTCTTCTACCTTCACCTTCTGGCTGCACATTGCCTTTTGTTACAGCACAGTCCCCATATTCTGGGTTAATCTTTTCCCATCAATGAGTCCATTGTCCTGCAGTGATTTCTGATAATTACAGCAGATCTGGCAGCACCCAGAATACCCAACTTAAACCATGGGAACAACACAAAGGGATGGTGGTGGGGGGCTTAGTTCTGTGTGTGATAAAATCAGAATTCATATCAGATTATATCTTTGTGTTTACAGTAAATTCACCAATATGATGATGAAAAGTGGAAATAAAATCCTGGCCAGAAGCCTCATGTCTCAAGTAAGAACTCATGTTTCTTCTCACTATTATGTTAAAACTAGCTAAAATGGAAGGTTGGGATGTCAAACACACTGAAATTGGGAATTTCCAGAACTCAGTTAGTCCATCTCTGTGGTCCTGGTGTGTTTTGCTATGCTACATGTTGTTCACAGCATGACTCTGATAAACCATGATTTGTTTGATAAAATGTACATTACCCCAGCCTCCTTAGCTCAAAGACCAGCAGCTTTTCTTTCCATCATTCAGTATTCCTGTGTCCTTTTGGATAAATGCAGAAAATTATAAAGCATAATTTTCTCTAAAGATCACCTTTGCAGCTCTGTTATTCCTTACCCTCTGTATAACTTGCCCTTGAAGTCCTGCATATGTGTCACCTACATGACACAGCTTTGAGCCTGCTCTAACCCACAGCAACTGGTATTAACTGGTGGTCCCATCTGATCTGTTCCATCCTTGAAATCTCTTGAAATGGGAACACATTTTGCCCAAATGTTCCCAATTAACTGCTGATTCCTTGTTACAGAAAAGCACGCGGGCTCTGGAGTCCAGGCTTTGCAGGGGAGGATGTTCAATACACAGACCCCTATTCCTGGTTCCACTTTCTCCCTTCCTTTCCCTGGCTTCTGGCACAGGTTTGTGCTGCTCATCCCTCCCACTCAAAGTGCAATGACTGATAAAAGAAACTGAAGAGCTGGAAGAGGGTGAAGTAAAACTTGAGTTAAAGAATTCCCAATGGGTCTTTTGCCTCTGGGGCTGGAGGAGCAGCTGCTCAGATGAAAATGGGATATAACCTCATGGAGTGGGAGAGTCCATTTGCTCTGTATGTCTTCTTTCTTGCCTTTCTTCCAAGACTCTGGAGACCATTAAAAGGAAGCAGCTGGAGAAGTACCACAAAGCTCCAGAAAATGAGAAGGAGACAATTGAATGCAACCCCTACGTCATTTTCCACCAGGCTCTCAAGAACTGCCAGCCCATCATCGGGCTCAGCAACATCACCAAAGGAGGCAAAACCTACCAGGTGAAAGGGGGCCTGGGAGCACATCTGGTTGGGAGAGAATTAGCTAGGGAGGCTACCCAAACCCTTGGGGCAGGTCAGTGTGGCAAAATGGGTCACATAGATCCAGTGGGATATTTAAAACACAGGCAGAATCTGTCTCTGAGTACAGGCTCTGCAGCCCTTGGGACCTGAAGGAGGTGAGATGTGGAGGCATTTGGAGTGAGATGATCTTTAAGTTCTTTTCAACCCAAACCATGCTGTGATTCTGTGACTTCCCTGTATTCAGTGCAGAGATGGGATGACCATCTCCCTTCTCTGCTAACCCAAACCATCCTGGACCCACCCCCTGAACAGGCCAGAATTTCCTTTTTGGTAGCAGTGGCTACTTCCTATGGGCAGAGCAGGAGAACTGGCAGGGCTCAGCTGTTGGCAGCGGGTCTGGCTGCAGAGAGCAGCACAGTGAACATCTGCAGGTGCCCACTGGTGCTGTGATGCTGCTGGGGAGGAGCAGGTTGCTGATAACTGCCATGGCTTAACCCTTTCCCAGGTGCCTGTCCCGCTGACAGACAATCGGAAGCGCTTCCTGGCCATGAAGTGGTTGATCACGGAGTGCAGGGAGAACAAGCACCGCCGCACGATGATGCCAGAAAAGCTCTCCCAGGAGCTGCTCCTAGCCTTCAACAATGAGGGGCCTGTCATCAAGAAGAAGCATGTCCTGCACAAGATGGCAGAAGCCAACCGGGCGTATGCCCACTTCCGCTGGTGGTAGGGACTCTGCATGGGACACGCTGTCGTGGCCTGGAGAGCAGAGCCCCAGGGCTGGCAGCCTGGGAGAGGGAAAGGTGGAATATCCCTTGCAGGCAGCTTCTGATCTAACCCAGGGAAAGCTCACACGATCCCCACGAGGTTCTTTTCCTTTGTGCTTGTTTGGATGGGGGAAGGGGGAATCGGAGTTACCAGCCCCAGCAGGGCTGCTCCAGTTATTTCATAACCACTTCCTTGTGAAGACAAGCCTTAGATGTTTTTCTTACAGCAATGCTAAACAACACCATCTTTCACTAATCTTTTTCCTGGGGATCTGAAAGTCTCCCTGCTCCTCAAATCAGCAATGTTTGTGGCTGCAGAGTTGGATCCTCTTCCACAGGGATTGGTACAACAGGCAATAAAAGGCGATTTTTGGTTTTGGTCATCAGTAACATGGTCTGCACAGATTTGATGGAAATGTTGACAAAATAAAACCAGTTTTATGGAAAAGGTTTCCTGACTCCAGACCTTTGTCTCTGTTGCTCCAGCTACCCTGGTTGTGTAAAGCTCTGATATCTTAGACTGGAGCAGACAGCGAGTTATCACAACCTTAGGGCTTCAGTTAGGAGCAACCCTTCAGTATTGCTCAGAGCTCAGCAGCTGCACAGGGAGAAAGCAGGGCACACTGTAGTGGAAAACTTTTATTAGAAAAAATCCTTCAATAGACTATTTTGTTTCTTCCTCACCCATTCTTATAAGAAATATACTGTAGCTGAAACTTGCACAATTCTGAAAAAAAATGACAGTTACTGTATAAAACCTATAAAACCCATTCCTACATGTACTCAGGGACCTGTCCTGTTGCAGGCTGCCCCGTGGCAGCTATTCCTGGCTGTTGGAGAGGCTGTGTGCATGCAGGTGCAGCCAGCATGCTGGAAGGAGTCTGGGAAAAAAAAGCACTTGGTTGAGTTTGTGAGGCCATGATGTGTTCTGTGACCTGCCCCAGAGAACCAGGTACAACCTGAGCTGGGAGATTTCCCTGTTGCCTCCCACAGCTCTGCTGGCTTTGGAGTGAAGCAAAATGTTCTCAGCCTAAACTGTGCTTTCCTTAACACTCATAAAAAATGCTGGTGTGAGCTAGAAGCCTCTCGAGCCCTTTGCTAGCAGTAGCCCAATATTAAGACAAAATCAGTGGGAAAACTTTCTGGGTGAAGTGTGTCCTTCCCTCTGTTCTGAACCTCCAAAGTCAGACTAGGACCAGCTGCATCTGACAGTAGGTGCAGAGAGGCTCTAGCCAGTATAAATCCTATTTACAGGAAGTGCTAGAAAATTAATGTGAAAAATTCCAACTTGGTACGAAGCTTGCTGGTGAAGGTGCTGGGGACTCCTCTGCTGCAGGAGGTTAATCTGTCACTTCACTGTAATAATATTTCTGGGCAGCATCCGTCATCTTCCAGTCAGCAGCCCGGAACTCAATGATCTCCAGCAGCAGGAGCTGGGACAGGGAGCTGAGCCCCTCCTGCAGAAGGAAGCCATCTCGGAGGAGGGAGAAGAGTTCATCCATCCGCTGGGAGTTCATCTTCTCCAGCTGCTCACCAATGCGGTGGAGCTGCAGGACCAAGCAGTCCACCTTCAGAAGGAAGAGCAGATGGCTGAGCACAAAGAAATGGAGGTTCCTCTGCACCCCCTGGACTGTGCTTTTTACAGGTCCTTGGCAGGACAGCAGGCACATCAGCAGCTCTTCCCTGCACTCACCTCCTCCTCCTTCTGCAGGCTGTCGGGCTGTGCCAGCCTGAACAGGCAGTCATACACAGGGTTCACCAGAGCCATCATGGGCATATTGTTCACCTGCAAGGAGAGTGGAGCACTGTCAGCCTGGGGCCAGAAGAGAGTCTGCAGCTATTTTACATAGTTATTCCCTTGCTGCTCTCCAAGGAAGAAGGGAGCAGTATTTACTTGTGCTGTATTAGTGGGATTTACATCAGAGTTCAGACATTTGAGTCTCCAGGAACCAGAGGAGCTGAACAAATGATGTAAAAAAAAAAAATCTATTTTTAAATTTAAGCAGGTAGCCATGGGAAATACACTTGTTTCAACAGTATTTTTCCTGCCTGAAGCTCTACTTGCACCATTTTTACATCTACTCCAAACAGGAATTCAAAGTTTACACACTGCACAAAGGCCTGAAGCCAAATTCTATTAGCAAACCTCACAGCAGCTAACCAGTCCAGTCTGGGACATCTTGGAGCAGGCAAATCAAGGGATTTCAGACACCAGGTACAAAATGAGGAAGCTGAGACTTTGTGACTGTTCCTGAAGACTTCCTCTGCCTCACCAGCCCTGTCAGCATCCTTGTGCTAAGAACCAGCTCTGGCCCCCATGGCCCTGGGGCTCTGTACAACACCCACCCAACACGCCTGCTCGGGTATCCTGGGATGGCCAGGCCCTTCTGGCACTCCAAGCAGCAGCAGTTGGCTGCTCCTGCTCCAGCTCCTCACCCTCAGGTAGTCAAAGATGTTGCAGATGAAGGTGACGTAACAGATCCAGGCCTGGAGTGAGCGGGTGCGCAGCTCCTCCCTGTCCTTGTACTCCTGCTGCAGCCGGTTCAGCAGGCTCCTCCGGAAGATGCTCTGGCCAACTTGTTTGCTCTCTGCCTATAAGCCAACAAAAACAGGATGGAGGGATGAAATGGGGGTGCCAGAGAAGCTGGGGGATGCAGTACCACACAGATGGAATCCTGTGATTCCCAGAGAGGCAGAAAAACTGCAACTCGCTGCCTGTGCTGGCCCACTGCTCTTCTGGATGCTGCCACTGCATGGGGCAAGTGGCAGGAGAGGAGAGAGGGGCAAGGACTCAGAGAATGTGACTGGGGCAAAGCCCCTCCTGGCCCAGCCCAGGGACAACCCACACAAGAGCCCAGGTGTTTCACTGTCCAGACATGAGCTCTCACCTGGATGATGGTGTAGCAGATGCGCCCAGCCTCCTTGCTGAACACAGAGTCTTTGAGGGACTGGTCCACTATAATATTGGCCACTTTCTCCAGGTCCACATTACTGGGGTCTGCAGAGAAGAGGAATACTGTCAGGACCCAGCCCTCTTTGGCCCCTGATTGCTTTGAAGCACCTGGAAAACAACCAAGGTCTTTGCAGGGCCCTGTACAGTTCCATTAAATGGTGCAGAAACCCTGTGTGGCAGAGGAGCTCATAAAAACCTACTGACCTTTGAGGGCTGTTTTCAGCAGCTTCTGAGTCTCGGAGTCGAAGGACTGTATTTTGTACTCTTCTTTCCCCGTTTCCCCCATGACTATTTTCCTCCAAGGGCAAGAGTCAGGGCAATGGATGAGCTAGTGACAGTCCCTGGGGAAGGAGCACAGAGCTTAGTTGGACAGAGGCAAACCTTCGTCCATTTGCCATTCTGCACATTCCAGGTAGTGTTGAAGCATAAGCTGTTTCCTGACAGCTCCCCACCCCAAGGAAGCTCCTCTTTTTACTAGGGCACCAACTCCACCCCTGGATTCCCACATCTTTTAAATCCTTGTCTCCTACCAGCTGATAATACAACTTCAGAGCCTTTATATCTTTCTGATATATTACAGGCAAAGCAGATCCAAAATACACACAAAATATATGTGGCTATATCACAGGAAGGCACACACTGCTCCCTTGGGCCTTTTAAATACCAATTCAGTAGCTTTCATACAAAAATCTGGTAAGAATCAAAGCAAATACAAAAGCATCCAACACACGCTCACCGGAGCACCTCTCCTGCACCAGAGCCAGCCTCCCTCAGCTCCCAGCACAACACAGCAAACTCAGCAGCCAAATCCCCAACAGCAACAGCTCCCATCTCTCACATCTCTCTGCAGTCAAGCATTGCTCTGCAGCACCAGCAGTGCTCCTAACTAGTCTCTAGTTTGGTTTTCTTCTGCTTCATAATCCAGTGAAGACAGCAGCAGTGTATGCATGGCACAGAGAGGAAGGGCTTGCTTTGACTCACACAGGATCTGCTGGATGGAAATGCAGGGCTGGCTAGACCAGCAGCGCGAACAGGAGAAGGCAATCGGCCAAATGAGTTTTGCCAGCTCGTCAAAATTCCTCGGCCATTACTCACCCCTCTCTGCAAACAGGATGAAAGCCCAGGAGCCTTTAGGGGCACGGGACAGGTACCGTGGGCAGTTCCCTCACATACAGAAGAACAGTAACTCAGAGCAGAGAGCAGCCCCATGGGGGTGACCACCTGCCGACGCTGCTCTCACAGCCGAAGCTCTCACCCTGGCACTGGCACAGAGGTTTCTTTCCCAGGTGGATTCCCAGGCAGCTGGCTGCCCTCCGTGCCGTGCCTGGTTGGCAAACACCTTCCTAGCCGACTTCTCCTCTCTCTCCAGCTGCACTCATGCCATGCTGCCAGTGGAGCAGACCGAGATCCGCAGCAGCCCCGTGTCCCACCGGCAGCATCTCCACACAGCAGGAACTTGGCGAGAGCACGGTGCCTCACGGAGCGCAGCGTGAAGCGCCCGAGCCCGTCCGGCAGCGCCCGCCGCCACCGCCCGGCTCCTCTCCCGGAGCTGCCGTTCCACGGCTCCCTGGGACGGCCACGGCCGCTTTGAACTGCGGTGCCGAATAGCTCTGCCCAGAGCAAACCACAGCGTGCCAACACCGAGCCAGCCAGGTCGCGCCTGCAATAGAGACCCTCCTGCCAGCACCACCTTATCCGGAAGGGCTGGTGGCAGTGGGTGACACGGGACATCTGTGGGTACCGACTGCTACTCTGCCACTGGCCCCTGCTGGACGAGCGGTCCCGAGGGCTGGCACGGTTGGGGTCAGCACCCTCAATCCGCCGGTGATTCACCAGCTCAGGTGCCGGGGCACCTGTGACCTACAGGGTCACGCCTGGCAGTATGGGCTGGACAAGTCCTGGCCGCTACAAGAAGACGGAGAAGAGCAGAGTCTCCTCTGCCACCCCACAGTGTCTACCCCAGGGGCTCTGTGAGCCCCCGGACCCCATATCCCATCCCCGCCGAGCCGCAAGTGGAACCCCAGCACCGAGACGCCTCTTGCCCGGGGCAGCTGGACCACCGGAGCCCCCAGGAACCCTCGCCGCTGCCTCCCGTCGCTCGAGCCCCCCGGCTGGCAAAACCCCAAAGGCCACGGGACGGAGGAAGAGGCGGATCCCGGGGAAAGCAGCCCCCGCGCTGCCTCGGGCAGGGCAGAGGGAGCCGGGCGCAGCCCCACCGACCTGCCCGCCGTCCCCGCTGTGTCCTCCGGCCGCCGGGACATCGCCGGCACCTCCCGAGCCCCGCGCCCTCCCGGCACGGCCCAGGTTTCCTCTTAGGTCATTTCCTCGCCCGAGCCGGGGGCGGGCCGGGCCGGGCCGGGCCGGGCGGGGGAGCGGCGGGAGCTGCGGCAGCGCCACCGCCTGCGAGCTCCGGGGCACGGCGGGCTGAGCGCCCGAGGGCCGGCTGCCCCTCGGCAAACTCCCGGGCTCCCCCGACACCCTCCCGGACACGACCTCTGCTTTTCCGACTCCACCCACCGATGGGTCGCGGGCAGCGCTCGCCCCTCTGCCCCGATCCCCCGCGGGGCTGTCCCGGCGCTCTACGCCTGAATTCCGCCCTTCCCTCCGGGCCAGGACAGGCTGCAGCCGACTGATATATAAAAAAATATAGTATAAACAAAGGAAAGGGGAGATGCACTAAACCAACGTACTGCAACAACAGCTGAGCATGGTATAACACACTTCACGTTTTTCTCTCAAATCTCATCAATTTCGTAAGGGAAGACCCCGCAGGGGATGAAGCCTTCATCAAAGAGTAGCCAGGCTGCTGAAACCAGGGAAGGGCTGAGGGAGCACAGAACAAATAGTTTGGGAACAGTTTCTGTAGCACTGCATGGCCTGGATGGATACAAAGAAAGCCTGAACTCATCCACCGGGGTGTGAGGCTCAGGACTGGCTACCACAGTTCCAAAACCCCCTCTAGGACACACCAGTGGGACTGGGCTGAAAAAAAATCCCCCTTGTCTGACCTCTTTTGGTGTAGTCCTCAACAGTGATAACACAGAAGGTACAGTTCTGCCTCCAGCTGAGGAGCACCCACAAGCCTGCAATGGGAAGAGAAGTCCAAATGGCTCCTGTTGCCCCAAGCTCTGGGCCCTGATTATCCTCCCTTTCAGGCAGCAGGAGGGCCACGATGTTCCTTGCAGGGTCCAGCACGAAGAGGAAAAGAATAAACCAGCTGCACTGAGACATTGCATAACAAAATATTTAATTTACCTTGTCTTAAAGGTAGGCACACTTTGTGTGTTGCGCTTGGATGCTTTCAGGAAACAGCAGCTGCAAAAAAAAGATCCACTCAGACAACACAGCAAAATGCCACACTTACAGTTTCTACATCACAAGAGAAACTTAAATCCAAATTAAATATGATCTATTCCAGTCCCAACTGCAAAACATTCGTTTCTTGTCAAAAATGATGCTGTGCAGCTCTGGATGAGCATCCTGAGAGTGGGGCTGTCCTAGGAACCCAGTGAGCCAGCCAGCACTGCAGGAAGCAGCATGTTCCTCGCAGATCTTGTGTGTCTGAGTCCGGCTCACTGGAGCTGCGAACAACCATGGCACAGCTCCTTGCCAATGCTCTGCTTGCTATAGAGCTTTTGGATGTTCTCATTGTAAAAGGCACTAGAAGAAAACAAACCCAACTGCTGAGCAGCTTGTGAGGTGAACTGCAGGCAAATCCCTGGTGATAGGATTAGCTTGGAAAGAAATCCCAGTGGCCAAAAATCGGCCAAGTCTCACAGTGAGCATTCACCATATTGAGTCCCTTCACACTGAACAGGAGTGCGCAAGCTTCCAAGAGCAAATCTGTCCCAGCACCAAGAGAACAAGGTGACTACAGATCTCTCCCATCTCCTGCTCCTCTAATTCTAAGAGATTTAGCTCCTAACAGCATGTGTTTTGTCAGAGCAGCATGAGAAATAAGACCTGTTCTCCTAGTGCTTCATTCAGCCTCAATCCCACAGAGAAATCAACATTCCTCTTACAGTGCTTTCCCCAGCAAAGTGCACATGAGAAATCTATGAGGGACAGATGCTGCTGATCAGAGATGAAGAAGTGATTGTTGGATGCAGCTCCTAATATTGTTGAGGTTCTCACATCTTTTCTCCCTCTCAGAGGAAGCCCAGATGCCTTTATGCACCTCACATTTGTGATTCACAGCCCAAAACCTCTGACCAGGGAGTGCTTCTACCACAGCCTGGCCAGACAGGCACAACTTAAAATCTGGTTTTGCCATCTGTTGGGTGGAGGCAAGCTCAGTTAATGCAGAGTAGAGGAAAAAATTACCCCAGAGAGGAAAAGCTGCTCCATACTCTCTAGAGCTGCCCTCTCTGTGGAGCAGCCAAAGCTGCCCATGTCAGCATCACCCCAAGCTCCACAGCAGCCTCAAGGAACATCATCTTAACAGAGCACAGATCTGCCTGTTCTTTCCTGCTGCTGAGTTCCCAACCAGTTTCCCCCTATTTTGTGTGGTTTAACAGCAGCTCTCTGACAAAAAATGGAAGACGAGTCTTGCAATGTTTAGACAGGATGGATGAATCCCCATTTTCTAAGGAAGCCTAGGTCAGCACTGAACATTTTCTGCTCTGGCCTGTCCCTGCTAACCATGACGGCATTCCTCTCATCAGCAACAAGACAGTAACAAAGTCAACCTGTTTGTGTCTGTTTTGAAAAGAGACATTTCTCTCCCTCAGAAGGATGTCATGAGGCTGAGTTCATTACTCTTTATCATGTCTTTCCAAGAACAACAGATGAACAATAAACAAAGGCTAAACATTGCTAAGAAGATTTTGAGGAATCTCAGAAGAGCTTAACACAGAAAAATGCCAATAGGATCGAGCCACTTGGAGAAACTCCACATTTTCTGCTCTAAACAAAACAGTCATTTTTAGAGTATATGCAGCTCTCTCCCTCTTTAAGACTCACATATTGGCCTCCTGCCTGACACTGACACTACGCAATGAACTTAATTTTATGCAGCTCAGTCACCTGCAGTTAACTTTGTACTCCAAGATCTCAAACCTGTAACAGACACAAAGTTATTCAGCCTGGGATTGCAAGGAATTTTTCCAGATACCTCAGCCACTAGTCAAACAGCTGTTTTTTAAAAACAGCCTCTGACAATAGCTCAGGATAAGTGAGCAATGCTGATATGCTCAAAATTGCCAGGAGAAGTTTCGTCAATGGAATGGAATTGCTCATGCTGGAATTTGGCCAGACCATTTGGGATTAACACCCTGAATACTGCAAAAGAGCTGGCAAAAGCTCTGTATTAAGAACCATCAAACCATCCTCCAAATAACTGCAGTGCTTGCCTTATCCACCCCTTGCAGATGAGGAACGCTTTTGTACGGCAGGGCTGGGAACACTGCCTCCCACACAGTCCAGCCACACCCTGCTAGGCTTGAAAAAAAACCAGCATTAAATAAGAGTAAGAAAGTAATTTTCCTCTTTTCCACTGTTGTGTAAATCAGAGTTGTTGGTAGGTTTTGTCAGTTTTTGTAAGCACTCATAAAACCTTTCGAACTCCAGAAAAATGCTTTTCTATCTAATTTAATCACTCATGTGAAACACCACGCTCAGCCAACCAATTCCCATTTGATGTTCGTTCCTTTCACTTCAGCAAATATTGTCAAAACATTTTCATCTGCTAGCACCAGTGCAGGACTGAGGTTCTGAAATATATTTTGAGGCCACTACAGATATACTAGTTAGACACATTCAAAGGTGCAACTAAATAAATAATGATAAAAAAATCACTAGTTTACACAGGACTTTCCCTTCATTATTCCAACTTAGAATAATTATTTAACTCCATACAGCATTTGTTTATTCACTGCTTTGAAGCAAAGAACCCTGAAGTAAAAATTGGATTTGTGCATTGAATCCCCTCAGACTGGCCCTCTTAATATGCAGGTTTGCTTGTAAAAAAGTGTCAGTGAGGCACTGCAAATCTCTAAGAGATGTATGGCCAGACACCCAGGAAGAGAAATGGGAATTCAGCGTACAATCAAGGTCACTGGAGTTAAAGGAAGTCTAGTCCAGCATGATCAGAGAAGATACTGTGTTGAAGACGACAAAAAATGCTCAGCCAGCAAGCTGTGACCAAGCAGCAGCAGCTGGCAGCAAAGGAAAGGAAAACTGAGGGTTTGTACCCTAATGTGGCTTTACCTGACTTCACACCAGAGCGACCTGTGCAACACCATGACAAGGATCTGGTGCAAACAGCAGGCACAGAGCAAGGGAATAAAACTGTGCAGATGCAGTACTAGGAAGTGGTGTTTAGTTGGTTAAGCAGCACTAGGCTGGGCCAGAATCCCTCCTCTGGGATCCAGGGCAAGCTTCAGGGATTCACCTGCTTTATCGGGTGCCATTCCAGAGCACAGGCATTGCTAGGGAGTGGTCTGTTGGTTCCCCCTCTCCCCACTAAATGTGCACTGATATGACAGAAGACAGAAGAAAAGTGCTCTGTTGAACGGCTCCCTGCCAAGCAGTTCAGTGTCTTCAGCAGAACTGCAGTTGCCTTCTCCATCTGCTTGGTCCCAGGAGGTGATTCCCCACAGGCTAGGGGAGCTCTGGGAGCTCTGACGTTTCCAACATGCTCGTGACAGAGCAGTCTCCCCTCCTGAGGATAACAGCAGGCAGCCACACATGTCCCTTTCATCCTTCCTGCCTCTTTGTGCTCTCGGGGCTCTTCATGGTGCACAGGAGGCCGCAGAACAGTTCGTACCAAAAGAAGATGAGGCCGGTGGAGCAGGCAGCCTTCAGCAAGCTGGGAGAGAGGCCCTTGAAGAACCCACCTGGGCCCTCCTCTCGCATGATCTGCCTCATGCAGTCCAGGAAACCCCCATACGTCCGTACCTGGGAGAGAAATGGCAACAAGGTCAAACAGGAAAACTTCAGGACAACTGGAAAAAACCACAAAGATCCCCATACTATATCATAGAAACATTATCTTGACATACAGCTTGGATAATATTAAAACTAACTGAAAGTTTCAGAGACTTTAGAGAGAGCAGGATAGAGGAAATGCAGACATTTAGCATCAGCAATGATTTATGCACATCATTCACTGAATGGCTGTAAAATCTCTGTATGCAACAAGAGCATGACTTTAAATTTATGGCACAGGTTTGTGAAGTCATTATTTTATATTGTGCAGCTGCTGTTTTCTATCTCCTTCACTGTCTAAGAAGGAAAAAAATTTTGAGTTTTCTCACAGAAAGAAAATACAGCTACAGCACTTAGAAGTTTCCAAATTAGCTGTCTGCATGTTATCATGTTACACTGTGCAGTTTTAACATCTTGTGACACATCAATGCTAAGAACAAATTCTGTATCTCACTGCAAGAGGAAAATCATCCAATGCAGTGGGCTGAGACATCAAAATTCTATTCCAGAGTTTCTTCTGATTCCTTCTCAGGACTGATTTCCTTCTCAGATCCAAGTAATTTTAAGGAAAAGAGAAAATTTCCACATTTCATAGAAAAAAAGAGAAAGTTTCTTGAAAGATCTGTATTTGTCTTCAAGCACATTTCAAGGTGGTAACAAGGGTGTTAAAGAACACCAGAGTATTTAATTTGTTTTGAATTCCAGGCTATTCTCATACATAAAACACATGTTGAACACTTGGTGCCTATTTCTCATGTCAAAATATTAATTGCAGAAGAGAAGCCTGACAGCCAAGTGACTCCAGCACAGAGTCAGTGTCATCCTCTGCTAGTAATTTGGTTCTGAATCAGAAAAAACAAGCTGCAGCTAGAAAATTAAAACCCCTCTCTGCTTGCCTGACTTGTCCCTAGCTCCATGACACAGTTGATGGAGAAGGATAACAAGCCAGAGCACAGGTATGTTGGAAAGGTCCCTGCTGGGACCTATCACAAAATAAACCCAGTATGTTCATGTATAAATTCACATTATTAAATTACACCAGTGCTCACTGGGAACTCCCAACCCAGATATGAACTCAACAGGTACCACTGGTGGATTGTCACTGCATTCCAGTGCACTGGACTAGCTCCATGCTCAGGAAAATCCAGCATTTCCAGCATTTCTCACCTGCCCAAAGGCTGCCCGAGCATGCTCAAAGCCACGCACTTGCAGTCGCTTTTTGACCACATCCAAAGGGTACGTGAGGCTTTTGCTGATGACTCCAGCACAGCTGCCACAGACAAGGTTTTTAACATTGGCTGAGAAGCAGAAAGGAAAAAGAATAGCAGGGAGGAAAAAAAAAGAGGATCATCAGGGAATTCTGATTAAAGACCATAAGAAGTAAGTTAAAAATCACTTTTCACAAGAAGTAAGGTCGAAAAAGTCCTTTGAAGTTACATCACCTCTTCTGCAATAGTTTCAGCCAAAGAATCTCAAGCTGTATTTTTTCAGGCTTGCAATGTCTGTTGGAATCAGAGGGCGAGCCCCTCTTGGGCCATTACACTGACTTAAGGTTTTGCTCTGCTCAAAAAACCCCAATCCCCAGTCACCAGACAACTTGCTACCAGTGGATGGAAGTTTTCATGCCCCCTCCAAGTAAAAGCCTGGTCACTGGAAATCTTGTACCCCGATGCATTCTGGACTGGAATGTCACAAGCTGACACTGCCTGATTATTTCAGAGGCTTGTGGGAAATTACTTCTGTATTAGACTTTTTCCTGACAAACATGAGCTCCCAGCACAAAACCACCATTAGCCTCTGCCACCTAAAATTAAATATGCAGGCATGATATTGAAAAGTCTAGTCCCTCTGCTGAAGAAATTCCATTGAGTAACAAAGTCACACTGCTGCTGCTGCTGCTGCTGCATTCCTCTCGCTTAAGGAGGCACAGGTATCTAGAACTGCCAAGGTGGCAGGTTGCATCAGGATGACGTTCTCTTGCAATGGAGCTAGAGATCAACACAAAAACATCAAGAGCCTTAAATTAGAGTAAATGAACCCTCTTCCCTAACAGCTGTGCTGGAATCTGCAGGCATTTCCTTTTTCTTAGGAAATCCAAGTAGTCCCCACAGCACTAATGAAACAGAAAGAGTATGGCAGCACTATCTTCCCACAGTATCAGTAACTGTTAAAGAAAGAGCACCCTGGTCTGTGACACTTCACTTTCCTGTCCACTCACTTCCATCACGCTTATTCCACAATGGAAGCTGTTTGTGAACTCCACTGTACTTAATCTGGCATTTCTGTGCAGGGGTAAAAATGAGAGGTGAGAAATCAAAATACTTTTCAGATGTTGCATCAAAAAATGTGAAAGGACTAACAGAGCTTACATCAGCTACCCAAACCAACATTCATCCACTTTCTCTCCTGACTGCAGCCATCACTGTCCCAAGTTCCTACCTCCATTCTTTGCTTCTGCTGGAATCACCCATTTGGAAAACTGCTGCAGGATGTTGTAGAAGAAGAACTGGAAACCAGCATATGGGAAGATAGCAACAAGTGTGGGGGTCAAACCTCTGTAGAAAGTCCGAGGCCCTTCCGTCTGGTACATGGTCACCACTGCATGGCGAAGGTTGGAGTAGATCTGGACAAGAAGGAAGAGGCTGAGTGACTTTTCAGTGAACTTAAAAACAGCAAACCAAAGGTCAGGTAATTTTCCAGTAATGGGTACAGGAATTTCCCACTGCCCAAAATACAACTGACTGTCTTCAGCACAAAGTAATAAGCAAGGTGATTTTCCACACCCTCACAATGTTCTCTGTTAAGCCCTTGTAACTTAAAGGAAACAAAGCATGGAGCTGAGTCCTCAGACCACCTGCATCACAAACATGATTATTTTTCTTTTAAGAGTTCTTAACTCCTGTAACACAATTCATACAATACATACTGTAATTCTACTGCAGGCTAAATACAGAAATGGCTCTGATACAAATCTATCTCATTATTACAGACCTAGTTAGCACAGAGACCAATTCTTGTGTAAATAAGAACATGAAGCACAGGTGAAAAGTGACTGGTTTCAAGTATCATTCCCATCATTATCTAAACATGAGTTTTTGCATGTGAAAAGTTTCAAAAATGCAATGTTCAACGGCCTGGGGAGAGGGTTCTATAAAAAGCCAACAGACAAAGCAAAAATTGAGTTATCCTGTTGAAGACAGTTTCTCCTTTCTGCATCACCTGTCAGGATCAGAAGCAGCAAAACACAATTAGGAAAGCTGTGTCAAGAGCACAGAGGATAACTTGGCAACAGTGCAAACACTGGCCGTAACAGCACCTGCTCCTTCATTTTAACCCACAATACTGTGCTTTCAAACCTCTTCAGACCTGTGCAATATTGGTACTGCTATGGATGACAATATAGAATCTAAGCTCACCTTTGGCTCACCCTGGGCAGCAAAGCGGGTGCGCAGCGTGTCCACAGGCTGCACTGCGACCGTGGCTGTGCAGGCAGCCAGGCCCCCGCACACCAGGTGCACGAAGGAGTCACGGGTGTTGAAGGAGGTGACGTTGTGCACCAGTTCTGTCAGGCTCTCAAATGCCATGAACTTGCAGAAACAAAAGCGCACGGGTCAGGAAGCCGCTCCTTATGACTCACACAGGGCTCCCACTCCTCTCTCATTTCACCAACAGCTCCATCCCTCCCAGCTTGTTACCATCTTCTATGTCCTTCAAAAGCCCTCCCCAACTTGCAACGTATAAAAACCACTAAGCTGCCGGGGGAATGCCTGAGATACTCTGGTGTCTGATACTTCTGCTAATTCTTGCACTTAGAAAAAGTGAAAAACTCATTTTAATATTCTGTGGATCCAGAAGAACGTTTGCTATGTCACAGATATGCTGTCCTTTACCCTTTCAGCCACTGCTCCTAAAGCTGTTAATATTTACAAATTAAGCCTAACAATGCTGTATAAAACACCCTCATCAGCTTCACTGATTTTTTCCTAACCAGTCCCTAGGGTGACAGCATGACTAGAGGCAAAAATCTGCCCAAGCTTGGAGCATGAACAGCTAAGCCAAGTGTTGGGAGTAGAGACAGCTTATCTATGACACCAGCTAGAGCTTAGTTTGCTCTTGCTGTGCTCCAGGCTATTCAGCAAGCTCAGGAATATTAACTTAGGAATTATATACCAGCTGTATACAGCTATACAACCTTCCCACTCCTGAACACAGACGGTCTGAGGGAGCAGAGCCGTGTCCTGTGTAGTCACAGTGTGCCCAGGTGATGCCTGGTCCCCTCACCTGAACAGCTCCGAAACCAACTGAAAGGAACTGAGCAGGAACATGGCCCTTCCAGAAGGCTGTCAAGCCCTCCTCCTGGAAGATGCGCTGCACAGCTTGCACAATGCCGTGGTACTTGGCCGCGGGGTTTCTGGAGGAGAGCTGCTCGATCTGGAGCTGAAGGAAATGGGAGAAAATATTTTCAATTTCACACTTCAGCACTGGTTCAAGTGTCTGGTTCAGGAATTCACAACCCTGTCAGCCAGCCAATGCTAAGGGATGACACTGCCTTCCCACATTCAGACCTGACTGGGATGTTATTTATGAAGGGCTCTAAAATAATAAAAACGTGCATGAACACAAAGATAAGCAGGAGGGATGATGGTGAAATTCAGTCAGAGAGTGGAAGTCATTCACAAGAAGAACAAACTCTGTGAAACACAAGATTCCATTCCCACACAAGTTAGGTTGTATAAATAGAAGTGGTGGACACAAGATAGCCCTACTTCCTTGCATAGGCTGTACACAGCGAAGGTGAGGGCTAACGAGTGGACTGAGTGCTCTCTGCCTACACAGGTGAACCGCTCACCCAGGACCGGATCAGCTCTGCTCCTTGACAGGCTCGCTCATCCCCGCCCCCGGGCACGCCGCGAGCGAGGTACCTGAAAGCGGATCTTGAGGACATCCAAGGGGCTGACAAGGACCCGAGTGACCAAGCCAGACGCTGATCCCGCTACAGCCGCTTCCGCCGTGGACACGCACTTGGCTTCGGGGTCGTAACCCACCATGCCTGCCGGCTGTCCCCAGCCTGGCCAGGAGCACACAGGGGAAGTGAGCCCCACCCACACTCAGCCCCCACCCCACAGTCCCTCACGGCAAGGCCCACAGCCCCCTCCTCACCCCACGGGACACACAGATGCCTCTCTGCACTACTCCCTCTGGCCCGCAGCTCCCGGCCCCGCCCGTGGCGGCCACCGGCGGGGGGG